AGAAATATATCTCAATAAAGTGATTTTTTAAAAAGTTCTCACTGATTCTTTTTACTGTCAGTTTCAGTGAGGTTGAGAAGTAATAAAGAGGTTATCTCACTGTTTACCAAACTCTGATTTACAGCACATGAAATATGTCTAATTCTATACTCTGCTAATTAGGAACCTTCTTAAAATTTCAATTCCTAGGCATTAATCTAGAATTAATGAATCAGAATCTTTATGAATAGGGCCTAAAAATCTGCATGTTTTAGTTTCTCAGGTGAGTTAAAATCATTAAAGAAACATATTGCTGGACTCTACTTGGAGTCAACCAGGCTGCAAGGCTCTAGATAAAAGTCTAACAATGTGTTTCACACAGTACAGCTAATCTACCCTATGGAAACACCTTGTCCTTTACCTTCCAAAATTGCTCAAATACCTGATGAGGTGGAGAGGTGCCAATATGCCCTCACAGTAGCTCCAAGTGTACACACATAGTGGGAGAAACATGAGGTAGCACACTTACCTTCTGAGAGTCTTTCCTTCCAGCCTTGGGCTGCTGACGTGAAGAATTCATTGTTAAGTGCTGAGCCATTTAACTTCATCAGACCATCTGGACCAACCTGGGTCGAAGAATAAGCCAAGGAAAGCTTACAAAGTAAGCAAAAGGTATCATGTAGTATTTGGCTTTCTTTTCATTTTAGAAAAGAATGTATGTACATTTAATTTTATAAAAACATGACTATTTCATACCATGCTGCTTATGTAATATGATTTTTAATGTACTATCATTTTGTTCTAAAATATTCCTGTCCTTTTACCTCTCCTCCCTTTTCCCTCTCAACTCCATTCCCCAATGATTAAAAACCTGCTCACAGAACCACACGTAAATAAATACATATGTAACAGTTTTTTTTCTGACGGTGCTTGTTTTAGAAAAGGAGGACCAAGTTATATACACTGCTCTGCATCGTACTTTTTTCACAGGATACACTGTGGAAGTCTCTCTAAGTCAACCGGCACAGTTTTAGCTACTTTATAATGGCTGCATATTACTTCACTGTATGAATATACCTCAATTAATTTACCAGTTCCCAAACAACAGACATATAGTTTCCAATGTTTTCCCATAATGAACAAAGCTACAATGAGCATCCTGGTAGAGATGAATATACTAGTACTTTTATTTCTAAGGGATATCTTCCTAGAACAAAGAATATTTGTGTGTGTGTGTGTGTAACTAGATATTATCAGATTACTTTCCAAAAAAGGCTAAACCAGCAGACATTTCTACCAGCAATATACAAATATACTTTTTCCCCGCCAGAGGTAAACATTAACATGCTATTAAATTTTTGCCTATCTAACAGGTTTGAAACGGGAAACATTTTCTTGACTACTGGAGTGTTTGTGAGTCTTTTCGCACGTTTACTGAAGATTTACACTCGCGATCCTGTAAATTGCCAATTCCTATCATTTTCTCACTTTTTTCTATTAGGCTGCTTATTTTAATATCAATTTGTGAGAATCCTTCACATATCATACACTAATACTTACTGTCACACGTTAAAAATATTTCCCCTAATATATCTCTCCACTGACTAGATTTGTGATTATTTGCCAAAAGGTTTTAAAATTCTTCTTTATATTAGAGATTTTCGATCTCCTTGTCTTGGTTAAAAACTGTAAAATCTTATTTAAGGACAAAAACCACAAGATCTATAAAAAAAAAGAAACTTGGATGGGAAAACTTAATAAAAGCACCATTCTCCCCAAAATTAATATCTTCATTCCTATCAGAATTCGTAAGCATATTTTTCATAAATTGAATGATCTTAAACTTCATATGGAAAAAAATAAATAATAAAAAAATTGGGAAAAGGGAATTGCCTTTCCAACTTTTAAATGTACCAAACCAAGCCACTACAATCAAAACTCCATTACTGGTATTAGAGTGAACAAAGAAATGAGTGGAAGAGGTGAGAGTGCCTATAAGTGCACACCACATATATATGAACAGAATATATAACAAAAATGGTATTTCAAACAGTGAGAAAAAGATGGCTATATATAGTGCTGAAACAACTGCCTATCCATCTAAGAGAAAATAAAGTTGAACCTCACATACAGACAATATGCAGAAAAAACAAATAAAGGTGGATTAAAAAGCTAACTGTAAATTTTAAGTCCAAAACAATTTTCTTTTTTTTTTTTTCCTTTTTGTCTTTTTTACTAACCGGTAACGGGATCACAACCCTCGGTGTCGTGCCCGTACTGGGGACCGGCAACGGGATCGCAACCCTCGGTATTGCGCCCGCACCACGCTCAGCCAGTGAGCGGGAACCGGTCTCCACATGGGATCCGAACCCTCGGCGGGAGCGCCGCCACACTCCCAGGCGGCGTACTCTCCAGTGCGCCACCGGGCCGGCCCCAAAACAATTTTCTGAAGAAAGTTTAGGAACCTATTTGAACATCCTAGGGACTGAGAAACTCTTTCTAACCCACTTTACTTTCCAACCTATCTGGGGCAACATTATCTTCCCCTGGCTCTACAGTAGAAACTGGTAAACTTTCTATAAAGAACTAGACTGTGAATACTTTAGGCATTGTAGGCCATATGGCCTCTGTTGCAACTACTCAACTCTGCTATTGTAGCACAGAGATAGCTATGGACAATATGCAAACTAACAGGAGTGGCTGGATGCCAATAAAACTTTATAAACAAAAACAGGCAGTGGGCTGAAATTGCCCAGTGGGCTGGAGTTGCTGACTGCTGACTCATGCTTTAGAGAGTTGGGACAAGGGTAATAGGCTTCCCTATGAGAACAGTTCATCCAGTCTCCACTTGAATATTCCCGTGATGAACAATTTACTCTACTGCAAGTCAATCCATTCTGCAGTTTAACCCTCCAGATACTGAGTTATTTTAACCCCTAATCTGCTTTCCAGAGAAAGAAAGAAGTTTACCTCTTCCACATGATGGAGCTTCAAACACATCAGAAGAGAAATGTTTTAATCCAACCCTCCCTTATGTTTTTTCTCTGGTCTAAATAATATTTTCTACTGTTCATTGTTGCATAGTCCATACACTGAAGTATCATTTCCAACTTATGTTTTAATCCAACCCTCCCTTATGTTTTTTCTCTGGTCTAAAATAATATTTTCTACTGTTCATTGTTGCATAGTCCATACACTGAAGTATCATTTCCAACTTTTCATCCTAGTGACAACCAGAATTCTTTATAAACACCTCGAATTTCATACAACCGTTCTTATGTATGGAGTATGGAGTTCTGATTAAGTGAAATTCAACTTCACCATCAGCTGTATTTCACTTAATCAGAACTCCATACTCCATACATAAGAACAATATTGCTCAGACTACTATGTGTTCCCACCATATTAATAACTGAAAAAGACTGGCCAAGTAACCTCCTGTTAAGAATACCCCATAGGATTACACTCTATGGGAAGCTGAACCAGATAACCTCTAAGGCTCCTTTTAACTCTAAAATTATACGTGGCAATTCTCTAGACTGAGATAGGATAAAGGCTGTCAATCAAAAAACAGTTCTGAGTAACTGGCATTAGAGTTCCATAAGTAGGCCTTCAGTTAGGTCCTGTACTATTATTCTCAGCCCAATAACACTGCGTCTTAAAAAAAAGACAAAGAGAGAGATCCCCAATGAGGTTCTTTAAAAATCCTGCTGAAATGTCAGTCTCCTAATTTGTTCTAACCAAGAACCGGGCATCCCCAAAGCTATAATTTCTCCAAGAAAAGTTATGATAGGGAAAGCATCACTGGGAAGGACCAGTTTTACTTATTTGTCCCTATTGCTGGATTCTCTGGACAATGGACCCTGACCTGCTTTGACATAGTACTGTGAAATTGGTGTCAATGTAGTTTAGTGAAAAGACAATTTTCAGAATTAGAAAGATTTAGTTTTGACTTTATAGTCAATTAAATATATATTTGTGTAACTTGCTTATTCTGTTAATCTCTTACTGTAAACTAAGGAAAACACCTTCTTATCTTGTTTTATTAAAAAAGGCAGTGGGGGGCAGGAGGACCTATCACATTACTCAGAATGTAGTATGTGTTTGGAAATAATAATAAATTAAAAAAAATTTCAGATATGAATAAAACTTTAGAAAATCATAATGGTCCTCTCACAGAGGAGCAAACAGAAGATGAGAAGGAGGAGTGACTTGCTAGTCACTCTTTCCTCAATGAAATCCTAAGTCTCAGACATTTACCTTACTCCTGATCAAGCTAAACCTCTCTGGTTTTTGTTTTGACTCTTCCCAAACCTTTAGTATTTCTTCTTGCTACTTTTTTTTAAAGTATAGCTTATATTGGGTTTTAAGTTCTTTATTATAAAAAGCAATAAATGTTTCTTTTAGAAAAATTTAATGAAAGAATAAAAATAATGAACATTCTTAATCCTACCATTGTTATTCCATGTTGTGTGTCCTTTCAGATGTATCTATTTATCTGAACCCATGTTTTTGGTTTATTCCTGACATTTCCCACTCCACTGAGGCACTGGCCCACATCTTGCTGATAGTGGACCAAGACAACTCTTCTTCCTGAAACGTATTCTATGTCTCTCTCTNCCAGAGAAAGAAAGAAGTTTACCTCTTCCACATGATGGAGCTTCAAACACATCAGAAGAGAAATGTTTTAATCCAACCCTCCCTTATGTTTTTTCTCTGGTCTAAAATAATATTTTCTACTGTTCATTGTTGCATAGTCCATACACTGAAGTATCATTTCCAACTTTTCATCCTAGTGACAACCAGAATTCTTTATAAACACCTCGAATTTCATACAACCGTTCTTATGTATGGAGTATGGAGTTCTGATTAAGTGAAATTCAACTTCACCATCAGCTGTATTTCACTTAATCAGAACTCCATACTCCATACATAAGAACAATATTGCTCAGACTACTATGTGTTCCCACCATATTAATAACTGAAAAAGACTGGCCAAGTAACCTCCTGTTAAGAATACCCCATAGGATTACACTCTATGGGAAGCTGAACCAGATAACCTCTAAGGCTCCTTTTAACTCTAAAATTATACGTGGCAATTCTCTAGACTGAGATAGGATAAAGGCCGTCAATCAAAAAACAGTTCTGAGTAACTGGCATTAGAGTTCCATAAGTAGGCCTTCAGTTAGGTCCTGTACTATTATTCTCAGCCCAATAACACTGCGTCTTAAAAAAAAGACAAAGAGAGAGATCCCCAATGAGGTTCTTTAAAAATCCTGCTGAAATGTCAGTCTCCTAATTTGTTCTAACCAAGAACCGGGCATCCCCAAAGCTATAATTTCTCCAAGAAAAGTTATGATAGGGAAAGCATCACTGGGAAGGACCAGTTTTACTTATTTGTCCCTATTGCTGGATTCTCTGGACAATGGACCCTGACCTGCTTTGACATAGTACTGTGAAATTGGTGTCAATGTAGTTTAGTGAAAAGACAATTTTCAGAATTAGAAAGATTTAGTTTTGACTTTATAGTCAATTAAATATATATTTGTGTAACTTGCTTATTCTGTTAATCTCTTACTGTAAACTAAGGAAAACACCTTCTTATCTTGTTTTATTAAAAAAGGCAGTGGGGGGCAGGAGGACCTATCACATTACTCAGAATGTAGTATGTGTTTGGAAATAATAATAAATTAAAAAAAATTTCAGATATGAATAAAACTTTAGAAAATCATAATGGTCCTCTCACAGAGGAGCAAACAGAAGATGAGAAGGAGGAGTGACTTGCTAGTCACTCTTTCCTCAATGAAATCCTAAGTCTCAGACATTTACCTTACTCCTGATCAAGCTAAACCTCTCTGGTTTTTGTTTTGACTCTTCCCAAACCTTTAGTATTTCTTCTTGCTACTTTTTTTTAAAGTATAGCTTATATTGGGTTTTAAGTTCTTTATTATAAAAAGCAATAAATGTTTCTTTTAGAAAAATTTAATGAAAGAATAAAAATAATGAACATTCTTAATCCTACCATTGTTATTCCATGTTGTGTGTCCTTCCAGATGTATCTATTTATCTGAACCCATGTTTTTGGTTTATTCCTGACATTTCCCACTCCACTGAGGCACTGGCCCACATCTTGCTGATAGTGGACCAAGACAACTCTTCTTCCTGAAACGTATTCTATGTCTCTCTCTCTTTTTCTTTTTTTTTTTTTCCTTTTTGTCTTTTTTGTGACCAGTAACGGGATCGCAACCCTCAGTGTCGCGCCCGCACCGCGCTCAACCAGTGAGCGGACCGGTCTCTATATGGGATCCGAACCCTCGGCGGGAGCGCGGCCGCACCCCCAAGTGCCGCACTCTACCGAGTGCGCCACTGGGCTGGCCCCTCTCTCTCTTTTTCTTTGCTGGCTGGTACAGCCAAACTGTATTCTATGGATGTCTATGTCCTAATATGATAGCTAGTCAAATTTATTCCATAATCTTGACATTCTGCTAAGAGAGTGGTTTTTATTTTTTATAAGGCTTAAAAGCCCATCTATTAAGACACTTACATAAAAAATATTCTTATTTCTTGTTTAGTACCATTAATACCACTTCTTTACAGGTATACATAAAAAGATTTTTAAAAATCTTAAGGAGTTCTAAAGGTGACATGTGAAAGAAGCCCAGATGGGTTATAAAATTGCCCATGCTTGAAATGACACACCTGTCGATCCACCTCTGGAAGGAGTAAAAGCAGTCGCTGTTGGCAATCTCCAGGAAGGACTGAAAAGGTGTGTTTGTTGATCAGTGCTCGCAGATTTGTATTAACCAGAATGGAGTCTGGAGTTTCAACATCAATGTCAGCACATTTAGTCCTTTTCATTTGCCCTACAAAAATATGGAAAAGAATCATTTGGACCTCCTTCACAGTCCTGTTTCTACCCTGATTATAGCTTGCTGTGCAGTGCAAAAAACCACAGTTGTAAGCACTTAAATATCACACTGTGAAAAAGGGAACACTTAAGGATCTTAGAAATCTCTTCTAATACTAACAAAGAAAATTTTTTTTCATTTATAGAGATTAAATGAATACAATTTATCTTCTCTGCAAAAATATAACAAAGTCTATATAAGAGGATCTTATGCAAGACTAAAACTACATTTTGTGTTTGAGACTAGATTATTTCCCAAAAGAAACTGAAGAAGTTCATGATAAATGATACATACACATACACAGAATATCTAAAAAAAATAGAAAATCCAAATCTACAAATCATATTGACGCCCTTTTCTTCTTCTCATGAGAATTTTTTTCCACTGATTTTAATTTGCGTAGCTAAAAATTTTAACTTGCATAGTTATTGATTGAATAGCTTAGTGGTTTCAGGAAACGTGCCCACAACCAGAAGGTTAGTCTTTCAGAAAACAGAGATGTGAATACCCAAAGAATTCAAATACATACTTATGTTTTATATATATATGTTTTTATATATATATATAAACAAAAGACTAACTTGGAAAAAAAATTGCAAGCCATTACAAAAGGTTACTGTTCTTCACATGAAAAGTACATTTACAAATCAATAAGACAAAGAAAGACAAATACCACCAAGAGAAAAATGAGCAAAGGGAAGTAATGGGCAATTAATTCATAGTCTCCTAACCATAAGAAGATGCTAAGATATTAATAAAGAAATGCAAGTTAAACCACTGAACAAAAATATTTTTTGTCTATTAAAATGGCAAATATTGCAATATAGTGATAGGAATATGCAGGAAAAAAGCAAAAAGCACTTTCAAATACTGCCAGTGGGCTGAAATCAGTATAATCTTACCGAGGAAAATTTAACAAAAAACACCAATGTCAGGTATTCAGATCCCCTTACTGGCCAGCCACCAAAACAAAAAAGAAAATTTAACAACATCTAGCAAAATTTTAATGAGCACAGGACTCCAGGACCCAGAATTCTATATTTAGAATTACTTGCACAAAGCTACATGATCTTTGATGTGGATACTCTCTGGCTCCTGGCTGAAGCACAACCAAAAGTAATACTTCTCCAGAAGAAAGAATTCCCATCTGGTTAGGCCTGCAGGATTCCTACAAATTAAAATCTAGCACTACCTCACAAAAATTATCCAACAAATCAGAAGTTATGTCACTATAACTGGGTCATTAGAAACTAGAAATAACAAATTTAGACCTAGAAGTACTGAACCTATTAGATACATAGAATACCAAATAGCAATGTATAAAATGTTTAAAGAAATATCGAATATAATTCCAAAGATGAGGACAAAACAATCAGGAATGAATAGACAGACTTAAAAAAAAAAAAAAAGGAACTTGGGCCGTCCCGGTGGCGCCCTGGAGAGTGCGCCGCTTGGGAGCGCGGCGGCGCTCCTGCCGAGGGTTCGGATCCCATGTGGAGACCAGTTCCCGCTCACTGGCTGAGCGTGGTGCAGATGGAGCGCGGCGGCGCTCCTGCCGAGGGTTCGGATCCCATGTGGAGACCAGTTCCCGCTCACTCGCTGAGCGTGGTGCAGATGCAACACCAAGGGTTGCGATCCCGTTGCCGGTCAGTAAAAAAGACAAAAAGGGGAAAAAAAAAAAAAAGGAACTTGTAGAAATATAGAATAAAAATTGTTTAAATCAGGTACTATGGATGAATTGGATTAAACAGCAGTTTAACAGTGTTAAAGAGGGAGCTATAATCTAGAATATATAGCCAAATAATTTATCGAATGTTAGAGAAAGAGATCAGATAAAATATTATGAGAGGTTTGGCAAAAACATGACAGAATGAGAAGGTCTAACATATGCTTGAGTAGAGACCAAGAAAGAGAAAATTTGAAAAAATAGAAAAAAGGCAATATTGAATGAATTGACAGTTGTAGATTTACAATAACTAATGAAAACTACAAATCTAAAGACCTAGAAGCATAACATATTCCAAGTAAAAAAAAAAATTCAAGCTGAGACCCAGCTTAGTAAAAGTGTTTATCAAAGACAAAGAAATTAGCTTGAAGGCATCCACAAGGGGAAGATTTCATAAAAAGCAACAACAGAAGGGCAGTAAAATTCTTAACAAAGGAATTTAGAACAAAGTAGATAATATCTATAAAATGTTGAAAGAAAATAGCCATCAACCTACAATGGTATGTCCACCAGACTATCCTTCAAGAATGAACATGAAACAAAGACATTTATAAAGATAAGTAACAACTGAGGGCATTTAATACCAAGAAACTTGCTCTAAACAAAGTTCTTAAAAAATTGTACTTAAGAAGGAAAATCTTACAAAAGTAACAGTAACAGCAGCAGCAAACACTTATATAGGACTTTCTAAGTACCAGGCACGATTCTAAGCATTTACATATATTAACTCATTTTCACACAACCCTATGAAGTAGGTAACTATTATTACCCCATTTCACAGATGAAGACAGTGAGGCCCAGATATGGTAATTTACCCAAATTACACTATCAAGTTACAGAACAGGAATTTGAACCCAAACATTGTGGCTTCAGAATCTGTTGTTTATCACTACGTAGGTATAGATATCATACAGTCCTATGATCTCTGACCAGAGGTATTTAAAAGTTCCTAACAAAAACATAAACAAAAATCCCTATATATTTGGAAATTAACAACAACAACAACAAACTTCAAAATAACTCCTGGGATAAAGAAGAAATTACAATAAAAACTTTAAAATCTTTTCAAACTGAATAATAAAAATAGTACCTGAGAGGTAAAGGTAAGTATCCAAAAATATCTGAATACTACCAAAAGATATAAAATGAAAAGTAAAGCTTTCTGTATTCAAACTCTAGTCTTCCTGCCAAAAAAGACATTTTAAATTAAAAAAAAAATGAAATCATACTATACACACTAACCATATTTTGTTTTTAATTTCACTGAATACGTTGATTATCTTTCAAATTATCACCTACAAATCTAACATCTTTCTTTTAGAAAAGCTGCATAGTATTCCATCATATATACCGCGATTAATTTAACTGGACTGCCACTGATGATCATGTAGGTGGCTACCAGTTTTCTGTCAGTATAAACAATGCTGCAAAGCCTCTATAGACCAGAAAGCAACAGCCCAGTTTCCCTTTCCCATATAACTCATGGAATTGACGTGCCAGTGTTATTTGAATAATTTTCACCATTTTTGCATTCATTGTACCTTCACATCTGAATCAGACAAGTCAAAATTTTAATTTAACTCTTACATGAGACTGAGAAGCAGTTGTAAATTATTCTCTAGTATTGATCAAACTGCACCCTAAAGATACTTTTATGTGCCACAGACAAGGTGGCTAATTTAAGTCCTCTAATTTTTGCAAAATTGAGCCTACTTATTTTCACTTTAGGTTGCCTTAATGTTATATTTCAAAGATGAGCTACATTTATTCTGACTGAATCTTGGGTATGATATACTATCAATTTTATTAAAGTTAAATTATACCAGTTAGCTGAAAATGTTTCATGTAAATTATCTAATTTAGTATTATCATTTATGTTTTACAGAAAATGAACTTCTTCCATGTATTTTGAAAATATTCACTGCACCTATGTTGTCAGTATTCCCACACTATTTCCCTTAATGCCCCATTTGTATGAAAGAAAATGAACTTTCACCCCCGTACTGCCCAGCCACTAAAAAACAAAAAATAAAAAACTTTCACATACTTCTCAGCCATTAAGTCAAACTTAAATACACCTTGCCTTCTTTTTTTGATGGTTAATTTTTCCTAGTTTTCCATATACATTAGAAATTCTCAGTCCATACTTCTCAATTTTGTGCCTCCACATTTTTATTGCAATTGAATGAAAATACTAAAATTGTGATTTTAACTGAATTTAAGTAGAATATAGACTCCATAAGGAAGGAACTTTGTTCTATTCATCCTTGTATCCCTAGGACTCTAAACCTGTGTTTGGCATTTTAGTATACTTTCTTTTAGTATTTGTTAAATAAAAGAATATTTTTAATACTTAGCACTGAAATTGATAAGCAAAGGGAATATTCAGTTTAAATATGGCAGATATTGCCTTTAAGAAAAATGTATCAATTTCGAATCCCACCTAGAATCAAACCAGGTTTTTATGAAGCATTTGTCTGAAAATATTAATTCTATTCTCACACTTAATAGTTTGAATGGGTCTGGAATATGTAAATGAACATAGAATAAAATTTTCCTCAGAATATGTCAGCAAGCTGCATTGTCTTTTAGCTTCCATGTTGCTGCTGAGATGCCTGAAATCCCAATTCTTGAATCTTTGTATGTGAAGTATTTTTTTCTTTCTAGAGCCTTTTGGAACCTTCTCATTATTCAAAAGAATGTGCTTTGGCATATTATTTATGCCAAACATTTATTCATGTTTCTTGACATCTACTATGTACTTTCAATCTGAAATCCTGTGGCTTTCAATTCTAAGAAACGCTCTTATATTGCTTCTCTTATCATTTACTATCCTTTCAACTTCTGTGCTTCCTTTCTGACAGTCTTACTATTTATGACATTGGACAACCTGAACAGGTGTCCCAATTTTCTTATCTTTTTTCTCCTATTGAACCTCTCTTTTTCTCTTTCACATATTTTCCAGGAAATTTCTTCAAGTATATCTTTCAATATTTCCAAAATAATTTTTAATTTCAGCTACCATATTTATTTAATATACAGGAACTCTTTATTTTCTTATTTATTTCTGAGGATACCGTAATTTTTAAAGTTACTTGTTTTAAATGTTCTCCTTCCTGGAGTCTGTTTCCTCTGAGTTTCTATACTTCACATTCTGTCTCCCATGATGGAAGTTTTCTTCAAAGGTGATCCTAGTAATCAAAATTAAAAGAGAAGCACTAAAAAGCTAACTGGAAATTTTGGGTGCATGGGTGGGTCTTGTAGACTGGTGGGCTTCATTGAAGTGTTATCAAGATGACCTCTCTTTAGTTGGGAACCTATAAATTTGCCTGAAGATTTTGTTCTGAGATTTTGCTGAGGCTATTTAATTTCTTTAGGTACCAATTCACCAATCTCCTGCTGGAGCACGGTGAGAGAAGAAAAGAAGCAATAGTGGTAGAAATATGCCTCCCTACTAGCATTCTGGAAGCCAAGCAGGAGAATCAATATTCCATATTTATATTTCCTAGCTGCTCATCATCTGCCCTCAGCTATGTGTGGTGTCCCTGAATTTGGAGTTTCTTTGGTTCCATTTCACCTCCTATCTCCTACTGAGGTGAGGCGTCAAACTGCTTCTTATTAACTTTCAAACAAGGTCCACCTTTTCAACACAATACTTTGCCCTTCTCTGCTGTGACATAGCATATCTCCAATTCTTGAGTTTTTCTGGTGTTCTGCAGCCTTCGCTGGCCTGCTTATTACTGGCAACTGCTCTTTGGCTCATTAAAAATGTCCATCCAGTTCTCATCTTTCAAAATTTCTTGACATCACCTACCTATCTGTGGTCCCCCCCGTTTTCGTCATCTATGTAAATTTAATCTTTTATATTCACATATTCTCTTTTTAGTGAGATTTCAGAGGGAGCGGGAAAGAAAGGTTCAGTTTTCCATATTCAATGATGAGCCTGTCCATCCAGTTCTCATCTTTCAAAATTTCTTGACATCACCTACCTATCTGTGGTCCCCCCGTTTTCGTCATCTATGTAAATTTAATCTTTTATATTCACATATTCTCTTTTTAGTGAGATTTCAGAAGGAGCGGGAAAGAAAGGTTCAGTTTTCCATATTCAATGATGAGCCCCCCTTTCTTTCTATACACAGAAATAAGACATAAATAATGCTGGACAAAGCAACCTTTTGGCAGAAAGAAATAAACCACAAGATGGCTGAAAACAAATCTTTCTCTGAAATAAAATTTGATAAGAGGAGGAAAGTGAGAACATGAAGACAGTCAAGAGCTCAAAGGTGAACAGTGCATAACAAACAAGGGAAAAAGACAATCAATTCTGTCCACATTTCTTTTCATGTCTTAAAAGTAATTATGTGAACAACAACAAAAAGAAATTATGTCTAATCTTTGCTATATAATTCAAATCATGCCTTAAAACTAAGCCAAATAGCTGATGAATTTCAAACACATAGCTGACAAATCATGGCAATGAAAACTAAAGTCTTTGTAAGCTAACTTACTTGTGTGGAGTCTCTCAGCCCTCTGGAATGACTTCTTCCCCAAGCCTAGCAAAGAATTTTCCACTTTAACTGAGGAAGAAAAGCTGGAGTTTGAGTTCTGGGGGCTGCTTGACTGTCCATCAGATTGCTTTCCTTCCCATATTACTAGGGGAAAAAAATATGTAAAGACTAGTAGCACTGAGGTTATAGACAAAAATCAATTAATCAAATAATCATTTAATGCTAAGTAAACAGTTATGTATGAGGCAATGTGACCCCGTTAATGTGTTTTGAATGTGAAAATTAAAGCAAAAAAGTAAAATAAAAATCTTCCTGGAAGGAAGAAAGGTGATAATTTTTTGTTTCTGGTGATTATTTTCCTTTCTAACAAAAACGAAAAGTTCTGAAAGACAAATTCTGTATCCAGACCAATTTAGATGAAATAAAAATAAAACAAGCAACAACAACAAAAAACCCAAAGGCCTTGTAGACATGTCCAATGGAAACTCAAAGGTAACACATATTCTTAGGAAAACTTCTTATTTTTAAAGGAGAGAACTGGTAAAGAGCTCTTGGAAGCATCAGATTTATGAGATTACTAACTAGAGGCTTCCAAATATTATTAGGTTAGACATCTTGGAAGTTAGTCACTGATTTCCTTCTTACATACAAACCCCATTGATGAATTTTTTTAATAACTGCATGATCATTTTGCATTAAAAATTTCCCATTTATCCTGAGAGGATATATACTGATGATATGGCCATACAAGGATTATGTAAATAAATATAGCAACTTAAAAATAAATGATGTATTACACAAATTTGGAAATCCAACACAAAAATACTGGGAAAAAGAAACTTCCATTAAAAAAATGCCCAAACTGCCTACCAGGTTTGGCAGGTACAGAGTCACTGGCTGCTTTGACAGTTTTCAGAGAGAGATGTTGGCTGGAGGAGATGGACATGCTTGGCCTGCATTGCTGCTGCTGCTGCTTCTTCTGCTGTTGCTGCTTTAGAGCCTATAAAAAGAAAACTGACTATAAGAAACAAATCAATTTTTAGTAATAATAAAAGCAACTGACTTCTTTTTAAGTGGTGAGAAGCATGTTGATGATTCAATCTCTTTGGAATCTATCAAAGCCAACAAAAACCTAAATTATACCACCTAAACACAAGGCCTAAATGATTCTTAGAGTTTGGATATCTTTTGTCAGTATTACTCCTTTATATAAATGTAAGAAATTGTCATAAACATTTGTTAGAACTGAAATATCACCAGTAAGCCAAGGGCTTCCCAATCTTGTAACCACTGAACTGTATGTTTCAATCATTTCTGGAAACAGAATTCTAAGCGCTGTACCAAGAAGAGCCCTATTTGCATCAACCCTATGTAGAAATGTAAATAGCTTATGCATGCTTCAGAGGTGCTACATTTGAACAAAAGGTTGTAAATAACTACATGAGTTACCTTGAGTAAGAGCAATGAGGTCTGCCCCATTACCAAATCTCAGCAACTTGAAGCAATGCAGTAAACAGAAGGAAAGAAAGACTAGACAATACTGGTTCTAAGAACAGTGTGGTTTCTTCTGGCTACTTCAGAATATTTTTATTTCTATGAGGTTCTTAATTTATAGAATACACTTGGCAATATTCTATTTAAAATAAACAGGAAAACTAAGAAATTTCCAAATTTTAATCACAGAAATATATGAAGCTAATTTTTTTATTCAAGGTTTTAGAGAGAGAGAGAGAAAGAAAGAAACCAAGAAAGTAATTTCAGGAAAAAATGGAAAATTTATGACTTTGGTAAGTTGCCAGTTTCAAGCTTTAACCTTCAAGACCATCATGCAGAAAAGTGTGAAATAATTCTGGTTTTCTGTTCCCTTTTCCCAATATAGCATTCTCCTGCTTAACATTCACACATTATCTCTGGCTATGCTATGGACACAGTGGCAACGTCTGATCTCCCTGCTCTAAGCTGCCAATGGAGAACAATAACTGAGAGGGTTGGATGTCTGGCTTAGATTCATGTACATTTATAATAGGTGAGGCAGAAGCATGCTGTGTAAAAAATGGCAGTGTTGGGCTGAGCCTGTGGTGCACTCGGGAGGGTGCAGCGCTGGGAGCGTGGCAGCACTCCCGCCGCGGGTTCGGATCCTACATAGGGATGACCCTTGCGCTCACAGCGCTCACTGGCTGAGTGCGGTGCGGCCAGTCTCAAAAAGGACAAAAAAAAAAAAAAGAAAAAGAAAAAGGCAGTGTTGTCTGACCATTGATTATGGCTTAGTCTCATTCTTTGCAATCAGCCACCAGTATTCATTCATCCCTTGCTACTCACTACCCATAACATTCCAGGTTAATGCAAAATTTAATAGAACCACTTGATCCCACTTATTTCAGCTATGATCATGTACATTCAGACACACGACAGAAGCAGAATAATTTACAGACTCTCTGATCAAGAATTGTACACGGGTTCCCTTCCCTCAGTAGTTTACAAACCCTATTTCTAATTCTATTTTAAAATTAATAAACAAACAACAAAACAACCCTCATTTGTGGTAAAAGATAACTAATATCTAAGAAACTTTTCTCACCCAATACTATGAAAAACATACACTGGAGGCAAGGACCTACTTTACATACCAACAATCTAATATTCCATACGGATATTCCCTAATGAAAATACAATATTTGACTGTTAGGATTACAGGAGTATACTACAGCAGTAGTATAAGTGTCATGAATGAGTTAACAAGGTTTGAGAAAACGCTTGCTTTTACCCTGTGGAAAACAAGCATCTTATACTTCTTAAAATCTTCCAGAGAACTTACAAAAATATAAGTGCTACAGAATACCCAGGGAGGCAGTAATTAAACTTATAGAATTTATGGGTATCTTTTAATAAAAGCACTTTTGGTTTAAACAATTTAAAACCTACGTAATTAAAAATTTTTACTAATTTTAGTTATACAAGTGATACATGAATACATTTTTACCATTTAATTCAAACACAAAGCTAAACTACAATTCTCAGATGCAACAAGTCACCAATTTATATTTCCTATTTGAACTTTTTTAACACATATATATGTGTGTGTTTCTGTGTACATACATATTCATAACTCTATTAAAAATATAACATTGTTTTGTGAGTGTGTGTGTGCATATTAGGCTATCTGCAAGTTCTTGCTATTACAAACTTAAATGCAAATATTTTTCTGTGTGTTTGTGTATGTATTTTTCTAACATAAGTTCCAAAATGTTCAACTGCTTAATCACGGGATATGGGCATTTAAAATTTTAACAGATACTACAAAATTTTTCTCCAAAGTGGCTATAATAATCTATATTCTACCAGCAAATGAGTAACCATTTTCCCACTCACTTGCTAATGCTTTTTATAATTAAGCTCTTTATACCAAAATTTCAGGATAAAAGCAACATTATTTTAATATTTTCTTAAATATTTTCTCCAAAGTGGCTATAATAATCTATATTCTACCAGCAAATGAGTAACCATTTTCCCACACACTTGCTAATGCTTTTTATAATTAAGCTCTTTATACCAAAATTTCAGGATAAAAGCAACATTATTTTAATATTTTCTTAAATACTATTGAGTTTATATTTATTGGTGATTTGCATTTCAAAAAAAATCCAAAGCTAGTTCTTTGAAAAGCCCAACAAAATAGAAAAACCTTTGGCAAGTAGTACTAGGAAAAAGATACATTATAAATGAACAATACTGAGGAACAAAAAGGAGATATAAAAGAATACTCTATACAACTTTATACCAATATTTGAAAAAAATTGGTGAAACAGACCATTTTCTAAAAAAAAATTTCCAAAATTGGCTCAAAAAGCATAAAACCAAGAGACATAATAGATAAAACTGTAATGGTAGGAAAATGATTTGAAAAGGCGTTATTACTAAACTTTCAAGGAAAAGATAATTTCTACAGTTTTGTTCCAAAGTTCAGAAAAATAGAGAGCTAGACAACTTATTTTATGATGCTAGAATAATGAGGATTTAAAAATTACATAAGGATACAGTACAAGAAAACTGCAAAATTCAAACTAAAATCTTAACCAAAAAATTCAGTAACATATTTAAAAAATATGTAACAAACATGTAGTTTCTTCCAGAGAGTTAAGTATAGCATAACATCAGAAAATCTAGCTGTGTAATTCTGTACAAGATTAAGAGAGAAAAGTCTTCCTGATCACTTCAATAAATCCCAAAGAAAACAAGACTAAAAAATTCAACACTTATTCATGATTAAAACATAAAATATACAAAAAACTTCTTAGTAAATTAGGAATAAATCAGGAACCTTGAAAATGTGATAAAGAGTATCTACCAAAAACCTGTAACAGGTATTATACACAGAGGTGGATAAATTACTAAAACCGAACTGGGATACTGTATGAGATCTCCTCTTAAAAAGGCCTAATGTAAAAGCTTTTGAGAAATTTTCAATGACTGCCAAAGTCATGAATTTTTAATGTGGGAAACTGTAATTCTGATAAACACAGACTAGCAAGGCTTACCTGCTTTAGTGCCTTCTTGCTGTGCTTCTGTGATGGAGAAATGACTTTACCTGCTGGAATGGTAGGTGATGGGCAGCCTGACTGGGGAGAGGATGGCTGTGACAACCTAGATGATACTAGAGGAAAAAAAAGTAACAGTGAAAATTTTTGTTAGCAGAGTTGATAACAAGCACCATTCCTTCTCCAATCACATCCGGCTACCTGTATTAAGAACCGTGATCAATCACTTTTGGGAAAGATCTTCTTTTTGGAGTTCTGAGGTAAACAGCCTAGCCTCCCTTTTCAGTTTATTTCCTCAGGCAGCTCTAGTGAAGGATGTAGAATGGAGAAGGGATGGGTGTTAGTATTCATTACCTTTCATTCTTCAATTTTTCAATAGAATTGATAGAAGCAGCAGGAAGTAGAATATAAACCATGAGTCATCAAATTAGAGACCTTTGGACAGTGTCTACGTTCTTAAGGCAAATCGAATGACAACATGTCATGGTGGAAGAGCCCTGGATTGACAGTTTAAAATGAAGGCAATAAGGCCATTCCACCTCAAAAACTCTACCACAGTTATTTAATCCTTACATTCCTTCATCTCTTAAATCAATAGACTTAGGTTTCCCAATGTGACAAGGCATTTTAAGATTTCTCTAATGGAAGCAATGTAGGTTTGCACAGGATGTAACCACTCTACTTCATCACTAGCTGTTTCATATAGCCTTTCAGAGCTTAGTCAAACCTGAGTCTCATGTGAATGAGGGTTCATCCTGCAAGAGCCTATATACCTCTGACAATAAATAGCAAGTACATTTTTATGTTCTATAAAGTTGACAGTGTGTGGGTATTGTTTAGATAAAGAACAACACTGAAACTGTTAATTCAGACTTATTTATTTAAAAAAAGAAAAGAAATTATAACCACTACTGCTAGTCATGACTTGAAAAATGCATGTTACTAATGTCTTCCTCTTTTCATAGTAATTGGACTGAAAAGGGCTGGAGAGCAAAGTAGCATCCATGGTAAGGCCAATAAGCTTTAAGATACCATCTAAAGTATGTACTGGTAGGGTAGCCACCTGACATGAAAATGTGGAAGAACAGCTAATTGAAATAGGCAAGTTTTGAAATATGGCATTTCAAGTTACTCTTAGATGTCTAAGAAAGGAATACACAGTAGTTATAAAGAAGATAAGAGCAGGTAATATTAAGATGATGACTTATTTATCATACGTAGCTTTAGCTCTGTATCCCTTTATGAAAAGGATCACATATGGGAAAGAACTAACATACAATAACCTTGATATTTTTGAAATATGGCATTTCAAGTTACTCTTAGATGTCTAAGAAAGGAATACACAGTAGTTATATTTAAAGAAGATAAGAGCAGGTAATATTAAGATGATGACTTATTTATCATACGTAGCTTTAGCTCTGTATCCCAACCTTTATGAAAAGGATCACATATGGGAAAGAACTAACATATTAAAAAAAAAATTATTCACTGTAATACATAATACAAAAATGGAATAGGATAATTTTTGAGATAGTTGGGTAGGAAAAGGAAACTATATCCCCAGTGCACTTTGATGTTGACCAACTTATTTAAAATAACAGCTTTATTGAATATAATTTACATACCATACAATTCACCTATGTAAAGAATAAAATTCAATAGCCTTTAGTATATACACAAAGTTCTGCAACCATCACCACAATCAATTTTCACCCCCCCCAAAAAAAACGCCATACCTCTTAGCTGTCATTCCTCCTTCCCTTCACCTATGTATGTCCCCACTCCTAGGGCACCACTAATCTACTTTCTGTCACTATGCATTTACCTATTCTGGACATTTCATATAATGGAATTATAAAATATGTGCTCTTTTGTGACCAGCTTTTTTCACTTAGCATAATGTTCTAAAGTTCATTCATGTAAAGACATATAAATACTTCATTCCTTTTTACTGTGAAACAGTATTCCATAGTGTACATATGCCACATTTTATTCGTTCATCAGCTGACAAGCACTTGAATTGCTTCCACTTTTTGGCTATTAAGAACAATGTTATGAAGAACAGTTGTAAGCAGGTTTTTGTGTGTATGTGTTTTCCATTCCCTTGGGTTCATTCCTAGGAGTGAAATTTCTGGGTCTTACAGTAACTCTGTTTAACTTTTTGAGGAACTGTCAAACTGTTTTCCAAAACAGCTAAACTATTTTTGCACTTCCACTAGGAATGTACAAAGGTTGCACTTTTTCTATACTCTTGCCAACACTTGTTACTGTCTGTCTTTTTGATTTGGTCCATGTTTCTAAAGGGACACAATGAAAATAAAAGCTAAAACTATTAGTATTTAACTATGTTTATTTTCTTTTTAATGTCTTGCAGAAATCTGAGAATATACATTTCCTCACTTGCCCCAAATAATGACTGATTATAAAAAGGAAACAAATAAACTGAAATAATTCCATTAGAAAGTATAAAAATTCTACTTTGTAACCTGGAAAAGAGACAATAAAGTTATCTGTAACTGCCAGGGCAAACTGCTTGGAATGTATCCCCTTAAGGCAAAAGCCCTTTCTAACAAATGAAACCACAAGCATATCACTACACAAATGAAATACATTTTGAAAATTAGAGGACCCCCCAGTGATGAGCATATCCCTGATGACTGGTCTCAACAGCTATGAAACTTAAACATTCTTCTGCAAACAGCAAACAAGATTTAAAACACAAAGATTTAAACACATGTCAAGAAACTTATCCTTCATAATTCCTTTTAGTAGCTACCATAACTACCTTCAAAGGCAACAGCAGTAACCAAGTATCTTCTATGTGCCAAACATTGTACTAGGTTCATTTTAACAGGAATTCATCCAAATCTCATAACTACTCTCTAAGGTATGTACAGGTTCTCTTTCTACCCCACCCAAATTTCTTAAATTCTACTTCCAGAGGTAACTAAATAACAGTAGTCTGGCATCCTTATGGTGATTTTCTATGCAAATAAAAATATGAAAATATTTTTAAGAACATATATTTACACGTAAATAATCTCAAAGGTAAATATTCATCTGCGTATTATGGTAGTATTATCTAAATTTTACATATCAGGAAATTCAATTAGATGCAATTAGATGGTTAAAGGACACACAACTAGTAAGGTGCAGAGCCAAGATTCAAATATATTTACACATAAATAATCTCCAAGGTAAATATTCATCTGCGTATTATGATAGTATTATCTAAATTTTACATATCAGGAAATTCAACTAGATGGCCAAAGGACACACAACTAGTAAGGCGCAGAGCCAAGATTCAAACCTTATTTTCAGAATAATGAATGGGTACCTGCATGGTCTGATAATGCTGGTCACCAAAAACATATGTCCACAATCTAATCCCCCAAAACTGTGAATGTTACTTTATTTAGAAAAAGGGTTTTGGCAGATATAATTAAGTTAAGAATCTTGGGATGAAAAGATCATTCTGGATTATCTAGGTTGATCTTAAATCGAACAACAAGTGTCAGTTTATAAGAGACACAGAAGAGAAGGAAATGTGAAGATAGAGGCAGAGAATGGAGTAGTACAGCCACAAAGCAAGTTAGTCAGCAAGCACCAGAAGCTGGAAAAAGCAAGGACCAGATTTCTCCCCTAACGCCTATGTAGGAAAAGTGGCCCTGCTGACATCTTACTTTCAGACTTCTGGCATCCAGAACTGTGAGAGAATAAATTTCTATTGTTTTAAGCCATCTATCTTGTGGTAATTTGCAGCCTCAGGAAAAAGTACCTAAAACTCATGAGGTTTTTTTTTTTTTTTTAAGTATTGTCAATTAAGTATTTATATATTTGAAATATTTAAATCAAAAACAATTATTAAAGATCTGACACTTGAATTATTCCATTTTGAGACACTGGGAGCTCCTTCAATTTATAAACTGTCTTTGGGACATGGCTCTAGCAGTATTTGACTGCTTCCCTGTTATCCGACAGAAAGAAGTCCTAGGTAAATCTTGCATAGTTTTTTGCTCAGACCTGGATCAGCCACTTCTCTAAGAAGACTTGATGTCATTTAATTGGAAATAGTATTAAAAGACCACACTCTGCATACTAGGGGTGCTCACTGCTACTGGGTTACCACTGTTCTAGGATTTTTCAGCTGTTGGAACAAGAAAACAAGTCTTTTAGAAAGAGAAAACGAAATTCACACTGAGATACCAAATTTGAATTTAAAGTTTTGGGGCTGTCACTTAACTTTTCTGATTTTATATTTCTATCCTGTTTCTTCGCCCCTGATAAACCTGGTTCCTAATAACATTAACATAATTAATTTGCTCTCTCTCTCTATATATAAAATTTCAAAGAAGCCAATACCAATACTGTAATTACTAAAAATAAGACTACTGAATGCAGTTTAAGATTTCTTTGTGTCTGGTCTCCCACACCTAAGATACCTCCCACAGTAACTTACCTATGTCATTATCTATGTCATTACACTACAGTAACTTATCTATGTCATTATCTATGTCATTATGCTACAAATTTGATGCATATTTCAGTTTGCTTTAAATTTCATATTTCTGGCAAGTACATTTTAAAAACTTGTTTTAATTGTGTAAAGCTATAAAAACAAGTGACTTTCATATAAGTCTAGCTCCCTTCCCTGACTAAATCACTATACCTCTAAGCCATTACACCTCTCTACCCCCGCTGGAAATCATTTTTGTTGGTTTTTTGTTTATCCCTCCATTGTTCTTTCATTCGTATTTTTGTTTTTTGGTGAAAATATAGCATATATATTTTAATACCTTAATTCATTTCTTTAAACAAAAAAATCCTATACTATTAACTATCCAGCATTTGATTTTTTTTCACTTATATACCCTGAAGAATACCATAGAACAGAATACAGAGCTCTTCCTCATTCTTTTCAATAGCTGCATAAAACTTCACTGTGTAGATGTACCATATTTCTTCCACCAGACTTTGTTGACAGATATTTGGGTTCTTTCTGGTCTTTTGCCATTATTACTGCAATGTCTTTACCAGTGATTCCTAAGGTATCGTACCCAGAACAGCACCATCACTATCTAAAAGTCTATTAGAAATGCAAATTATGGGGCCGAGC